TTGTAATTTTTACACCTTTCAAAATATTTATCTGTTTTTTTCCTTATAGAAATGCATCAAGATTCATTTTATTAATTTAAAAATGACATCTTTTTACTGCAACTACTTTTAGGTTTTAGTTGCCATTTAGCCACTTTTAGCTGCTTTGGGCTTCTAGCTAGGTTTCTGCCACTATTGTTAGACTTTTAATATTTTTATCTTTTAGCTCGCTAGTTATATTAGCCTGTCTTGTTTATAGCTAGGGTTGTGTTAATTCAGCTATTTTTCTACTTTCAGCTTTTAGGTTTATTAACTTTTAGCTCCCAGCTAACCCTTTGCTACTTTTAGCTACTGACTAACATTTTTATTATTTTTAGCAAGAATTGTGCTACTTTTACATTTAAGCTCATGTTTCAGATTCTTTAAGCTCTGCTAACTTAGTTTCATCTTCTTCAACATTCTCAGCAGTCGTTCAGCTTTCATATAGACTCTGTGTTTATTCGTATTAATACTTGATTTTTGTGAAAATTCAAAGTTAAATAGAAGAAAACTTTATTTCTGTGAATCTAAATGTGAATTTAGGAAAAGCTAAACCTGAGGAAATAACTGATCTCAGTGGTGACTGAATCCTCGTCTCTCTTCCTTTCAGTAAAAGAACTAAATAAAACAAATGAACGGAGGCGTCAGCAGCGTACCCGACTTTTCACCATCATCTTCTCCAGCTCTTTGCTGATGTCAGAGAAGGTGGGCCTCTTGTCTGACTCTTGTTTCCAGCACCGCAGCATCAGGTTGTACCTGCAGGAGGAAAGGGGAAACCATCAGTTTGTGTTTAAAGCAGAAGCTGAAGGAGAGGGCAGACAGCGGCGCTCACATCTCCTCTGAGCAGTTCTCTGGTTTCTCCATCCTGTAGCCGGTCTTCAGGAGGTTAAAGAGGCGTTCAGGTGCGATACCYGGGTACGGGTTTCCTCCCAGGGTTACGATCTCCCACAGCAGAACACCGAAAGACCACCTGGGAAAAGAAATGCAGCAAAACATCAGAAAACATTTTGTTTCTCACAAAAATCTCCAGTTCCCATTTAAAGTTGGATAAAACTCCACATCAGTAAGTTATTGATGAGGTCAGTGCTGATAATCCTGCTCTTCATGAACCACCATGTTTAATTTGTTTCTCTACCTGGTTCAAAGGTTAAATTACCTTTAGGGCAGATTATCACCCGTTAATTTAAAGCAGTTGGCTTAAAGCTGAAGGAAAGTCATCGAGGACAAGAGATCATACAAAAAACAAAACGTAAAAAGAATTCTTTGTTTTCAGCACGAAAGAAGCTTTAATTTCACGTTTCTGATTTTTTTACCCCCTCAGAATCCTGCCTTTAATCTCAAAATTTGGGTTTAATTCTCAGAATTCTAAGATTAAAATCTGAATTCTAGGATTTAAGTTTGAAATTTTAATGTTAATTTCAGAATTATGAGAATAATTTCAGAATGAAATAAATTTTGAGTTTAATTCTCAGAATTCTGACTATCTAAAATCTCAAAATTCAGAGATAAATCTCAGAATTTGGTCTTTTTTCCTCAGAATTCTGAGACGTAAGTCTGAAATCTGGGTTTRACGTATGAATTTTGGCGTTAATTTCAGATTTTAGTCTGAACATTTCACACATTCTAGTGTCCTAGCTTTAATCTAAAATCACAAAAACAGTTGAGTCTGTGATTGGAAGGTCGCCGGTTCAACTCCCAGAACCAACCAGCCCCACCTTGGGCCCTTGAGCAAGACCTGTAACCCCTCAGCTGCTCCCCGGGCGCTTTAACTGGCAGCCCACTGCTCCACGTGTTCACGTGTGCGATGGGTAAAATGCAGAAAC